CATATCCCTGCCATGTCTACATTTTTTCTTTCATCATTTTATTATGAGAGTAATAATAATCCCCTATTATGAGCAACGGTAGGTTACTCACGCTACCGATGACCTAAGCATAGCATCTACTCAAACCTGCACTAGTAAGACTCTTAGGACAGGTATATCTATGTATGTGGTTTCCATAAAATTTCTATAACATAAATACACATAACATATATAAACATTGATTATAAAAAATAAAATATTATGCACCGGGGCTTGCCTTGACAGGCGCGGTGTCTCCCGAGTCAGTCGTCGGTGGCTCCAGGACTTCCTCCCTCATGAGGATCTCCTCCTCGTACTCCTCAATAATCTCCTCGAACTCGCGATCATCGGTGGTCACTATCTCCACCAACTCGTTCTCTACATGCATGCGATGATGATGCAACACTTAGTATTTAGGCAACAACAACTCTTAAAATAAGAATACACATACTAAGCTACTAAGCTAGCTCTAATGACTAAGATACTAAGCTAGCTATCATCTGCATCAAGCAGGGTGTTGGATTCAACTAACAAACCCTTAGCTTAGCAAATTAAGGATATATCTTTATTTCTTCTAGTGATTTAATGTATATTGAACAAAGAGCATTTAACTACCCTAATGCTTAGTCTACCCTAAGGCTACAAAAATTACAGTGAGCACGTAATAATTCCATGAAGCTACTATAAAAATTTTAGGACCAAAGCTAGCACCAATTTACCATAAAAATTTCTAAAATTATTAATTTAATAATATAAAGCATTCTCATACGATTTAATAGCTCCTGGTATCAATATATATATATGAATTAAATATACCAACAGATAGAGCACAATTTTATGAACCTAACATATTTTATTTTATAATTTTTGTACACCTACATTATTTTATATTAATTGCCAAAGATTAGCTCAGAAAATAAATTAGAAAACAATTTCTAATTCCTTATGAAAAAAAGAAAAATGAAATCTCCCGCGCGGCCCATGCGACGCAGCGCGTACGAGCACGTGACGACCCGCTGTACGGCCCATGTGAGGCCGGCCTGCAGCGCGAGACGGCTCGCGGCGGCGGTACGGGGGGAATCCCGCTCGCGCTTGTAGTTTTACAAAAGAGACCTCAAACTTCACCCGAATTACAACTAAGTACTAACACTATTTTCCTCTCACTCAAACCATTTTACTTAACCCCCTAGCTTTCCTAGAATTCCCCCGCGCACACCCCCGGCGACTCAGCGCACGGCGGCGCGGCGGCCGGTGACACAACGCGGCTGCGCCGGCCACCTGGGACCTACGGTAGACCACCTAACGGGCCGGTCACCATCTCCAACATGAGTGGCTACGCTAAGCGGCGGTGTGGGGTGACACGACTTGCTGGGGAAGGCTGCAGCGGCGCGCGGCCATCCACGTCAGCGGCGCCACTGTTCCGGTGAGCTAGGGTAGCTACAGACGTAATTGATTAGCGCGTTAGCATCAGGAGGCTACCATGGATCAAGCCGAGGTGATGGTTAGGGTGGAGGATGACGGAGGAGGGCTGGCCATGCGCAGCCGAGCCGTGCGGCGGTGCACCGCGGTGGCATGGTCGCATCAGCGACGATGGGGAGGCGGTAGCAGTTCCACCGGCGTGCGCAAGGTGGAGAGGGAGACAAGACGAAGCTAGTGGTGCAGGCGAATTGGTTCGGGAGGGACGGTAGGAGGGCTGCCCACGACAATGGCCGAGCGCGGCCTTAATGGCACGGTGGGGGGGTCTCCAAATTGGAGCTTGGTCGTGCTCGCTTCAAGGCTGGGTGGGGTCAGGGGTCAGGTTGCTTAATGGAGAATCCAGGGACGTGATGAATCGAGCGATGGTGACTCAACCATGTCGAATTAAGCGAGCGGGGTCGGTCGGTCGTAGTGGCAGAGAGAGAGGAGCAGGTCTGGTTCGGCTCGTCCTCGCCTTGGCGGCAGGCGGCAAGCGGCCGGCCGGACCCGAGGCAGTGTCTGTGCACCCGCTACGTGACAACGTGGCCATACCACGTGTGCGCGCGGGGAGGCGGGTGGGGGCGAGGCGACGACGCGAGGCAGCGGGGACAGCCCACGTGCGCGCGAGGACAAGGCGAGTGGCAGCGCAACACAGCGTCACAGTGGCGTCGGTAGCGGCAACGCGAGGTAGGGCAACAGTGTGGACGCGACGATGAGGTGATGGAGCCGGCAGGGGCTCTATCGCGGCGTGGGGCGGGGCAGGCGGCAGCAGCGGCTGCTCCACGCGGCGGGGCTAGCGGCGGCCGGGCCGTAGCCAGGCCAGAGGCAGCCATGGCCGGCCACGCACGGCAGCGCGCGCATGCGCGACCAGCGCGGTGACGCCGAGCGTCTGAGCTTGGTGACCGCGTCCACCCGACGAGCCAGCCTGAGAACGCGTCGTGCACAAATTTTAAAGCGTCGATATCAACTAAACGATTGAGGTTGACACTAAACCGCCTTCACTATGCTAAAGAGGGTCTATTAGGCTACCAATCCGAGCTAAAACACGACACCACTTCTTAACTCAATTTCTTAAAATAATTTGCTAAACATAGCAATGTCTAGCTGTTGACAAACTTGGAAATTTTTCTAAGTTTTTGAGCTAAACTTGATTTCAATTTGTAATTTCTAGGCTAGTAGAAATATTAGCTAATAATATCATTTTTAACAGAAAGTATTTCACTGTCATCTACAAAATTCATATTTCAAAATTTATTTAAGTGTCACATGTGTGTTCTATAGTGTTTTTGTTCAATAAAAATTGATTTACAACCCTACTAATTAACTTTATGAGTTATGGAGTAACTTTTTGTTTAACACTTCTATTGGTCGTTTTAATTGCAATGCTTCATCTATGCACTCCATCACATGCACTAACACATAAATATGATGCTCATGACGTGTCTTAGTAAATGATTTAGGCTGTGTTTAGTTCATGAATTTTGAGAATTTAGCTACTGTAACACTTTCGTTTTTATTTGGCAATTAGTGTTCAATCATGGATTAATTAGGCTCAAAACGTTCGTCTCGCAATTTCCAACCAAACTATACAATTAGTTTTTTCGTCTACATTTAATACTACATGCACGTATCGCAAGATTCGATATGATGGCTACTGCAGCACTTTTTGGAAAAAATTTTGGAACTAAACAAGCCCTTAGAGTGTAACACCGAGGGTGTTACAGGTGATGCCGCATGAGTCGTTCCTGTTCGCGGCGAGCGTCCACGAGAACAACCCATAAGGGCGTGACGGTGGCTACTTTTAGTTCTGTCACTTCTGTCGCTTTATTTTAACGGAATGCTATTTTTAGTTTACGGTTTAATTTTGGTGGTATTTTATAAGGATATAAATTTTTTTATGGTATTTTACGGAGATCGTGATCTTTTAATGTTACATAACCTATTTTCTTTTTTTTTAACGCTGTCTTTAGTTTCAGCTCATCAAACCCAACCTGCCTGCCAGCCCCGCTGTCCCCATCCATCGTCGTGAGGCTCAGTCAGCACTCAGGCTGCAGGCCCTCTCGGCCTCTCCACAGTTACTACAACCGCAGAGCCAAAGTGCGCCCGGTGCACCGTGGACTCGGGTTGCCTCTGATTTGCATCTGCTCCGGCCTCCGGATGCCAGTCAAGAGTCAACCCGACCTGCGTTTGGTTCTCTGCCGCTGCTGGCCTGCTGCTGCCTTCGCAGGTATTCTGCAAATTCAGGGCAAGTTTGTTCCAAATAAGTCACCTATTTATAAGTTAAAAAGTGAAAAAAGTGATTTATTTTGTTAAACACCATCAACTTATAAGTCACCTCTGCTTTAAGTTTTAAGTTGGTTCACCCCTGCTTAAAACTTATAAGTCACCCTTTTTCGCGTGGGGCTCACACCTTTAATGAGCTTATAAGTCATCTACAACCAAACATATATGACTTATAAATCATTAGTTTTCAGGGCTTGTTTAGATGCAAAAAATTTTGCAAAATGAGTACTGTAGCGTTTTCGTTGTTATTTAGCAAATAGTGTCCAATTATAGTCTAATTAGGCTTAAAAGATTCGTCTCGTAGATTTCGTCTAAACTGTGTAATTAGTTTTATTTTTTATTTATATTTAATGCTTCATGCATGCGTCCAAAGATTCGATGTGACGAAGAATGTGAAAAATTTTGTAAAATTTTTTGCAAACTAAACTGGATCTCAGTCACCTGACTTGTGGAAACCAAACTGACAGTTGTAAAATAATCTGCGATCCATCCCATCTAAAGATTACTACTTTGACTCGCATTTTTTTTATGCGACTCCCTCCGTCCCTAAATGTTTGTCGTTTTCATTTATCAAAAAATAACTTTGACTAAATATATATTAAAAAATATTAATATTTATGGTATATAATTAGTATAATTAGATAGATATTTGAATCTAGTTTTTTAATAAATTTATTTAGAGACATAAATGTTGCACGTATTTTCTATAAATCAAGTCAAACTTATCGGCATGTAAACCATGACGACACATATTTAGGGACGGAGGAAGTATCTTATAAAATCTGTGATCATCCGACGTCAATGCTTTTTTTATGTGTATTCCGCAACAAATATTTATTCAATTTTGTATTTCTAATAAGAGTAGTAGAGTACCACTAGTATACTACACGAGCTTCTTATAAAATCCAATTTGAAAATTGTCTGTTGAAAATTCAATCAAAGTCGTCCTCTCCTCTCAAAAAAAAATGCAATCAAGTCGGCAACAAATATTTATCTATTTTTATATATTTTGTAATAAAAGTACCACTGCCAGAACTTTTTGAAATTTGTCCGTCGATACGAACTCTACGGAGGAGAGATTTCAGTTGGTGTTCGGTTAGTCTTGGTACACCAGTTCCACCCACCACCAGAGAAATGCCATGTGCGCCCCGTCCCCCTTGTAAGTCCCGTCGACAGCGGGCAGGCACCCCCGCATCGCATCGACCGCCAGTGATCCAGCTCCCCCAAATCCGACGACGCCAGCCATGGCCGGCACGTGCGCTCACGCCGAGTTCCTCCGCGCGCAGCCGGCGTGGGCGCTGGCGCTGGCCGCCGTGGGCCTCCTCGTGGCACTCCGCGCCGCCGTCCGCTTCGTGCTCTGGGTCTATGCCGCGTTCCTCCGCCCGGGCAAGCCCCTGCGCCGCCGCTACGGCGCCTGGGCCGTCGTGACGGGCGCCACCGACGGCATCGGCCGCGCCATCGCGTTCCGCCTCGCCGCCGCCGGGCTCGGGCTCGTCCTCGTCGGCCGCAACCCGGAGAAGCTGGCCGCCGTCGCCGCCGAGATCAAGGCCAAGCACCCCAAGGTCCCCGAGGTGCGGACCTTCGTGCTCGACTTCGCCAGCGAGGGCCTGGCCGCCGGCGTAGAGGCGCTCAAGGACTCCATCCGGGGCCTCGACGTCGGCGTGCTCGTCAACAACGCCGGGCTGTCCTACCCGTACGCGCGCTACTTCCACGAGGTGGACGAGGAGCTGATGCGCAGCCTGATCCGGGTCAACGTCGAGGGCGTCACGCGGGTCACGCACGCCGTGCTGCCAGGCATGGTCGAGAGGAAGCGCGGCGCCATTGTCAACATCGGCTCCGGCGCCGCCTCCGTCGTGCCTTCCGATCCGCTCTACTCCGTCTACGCCGCTACCAAAGCGTGAGTTCTCCGGTTTCCTGCTCTCGAATTACTGCTGTATCCTTGGCTATTGACTGCCGCAGTTGTACAGGCTGTAGCTTAAATTCGCTCGATTTTAGGATAGATGGTGGTAGTGGAATTAAGATTGACTGATTGAGAACAAAGGAGCACGTCTTTCTTGCCTGTCTGTACTTGCCTACTTGGTTTGGGAACTATTAAAGCAACACTGGGATCGGGGATTAGAGGAAACGCCTTCGGTGTGAATTCTTAGCTTGCGTGTTGGTCATGCCAGATTCTGATGCAATCATAGGGGGAGTTAGTTAGATGTACATTCAGATGCTAGAATTAGTTGGGGTACTGAAATTGCATCAGTCTAGGATTACTTGAAATGTCCAGATCTGACTTATGATCCTTTTCCTTAGGGGAAATGAAAAGATAGCTAACTGCAATCAGTAAGCTACACATAAGCAAAGAACTTTGATGGTTAGGCGTACTAATTTTTGTATGCATAAGAACTAGAAAACTTTTGTGTGGTCTAAAATGTTCATTCTGGTTGCAACTATTAGAGCTCATGGAATAGTTGGGCTGTATTCTCCTGTGATCTAGTACATATTGGATGAAGAGTTGAAAACCTATAAACAATGAATTATTGCCATGTAACATACAGGCTCACAACAGCTGTAAATGAGCAATTGACCTCCTATTTTGTTTGTGTACCTTTGTGTTATGCACTACATAAAGGGCGTACCCAGTGCAGAGAGCTCCCGCTCTGTGCGGGGTCTGGGGAAGGGTGTTAGTGGCAAACTTTACCCTCACCTGTGCAATGCGAGGAGACCGCGACTCGAACCCGGGACCTTCCGGTCACAGGCGGGAAACCTTTGTGTTATGCACTACATACTTAGCTGAAAAAATGCGAACATGATGAATCTTTCATAGGGGTGAGTGTGTGTGTGTTGTGAGCCTTTGAGTCTGTACGGTGTAATTATTTAAAAAAATAACTGTAATTAGGCAGATGCACACATTCCCTTTAACTTACTAAGCGCACGCTAAAAATAATGTTATCTGTATTTCCCAGGTATGTTGACCAATTCTCAAGATGCCTCTATGTTGAGTACAAGAGCAAAGGTATTGATGTCCAATGCCAGGTAACAAACCTCTCTTTGCATCGAATGTATCTTGCCTCGAATTATCAACCATTTCTACAGTTATTTTAACTTAGTTTTGTGCTATTGAAATGATTTAGTGTCTCTCACCAAATTCCAATTTTCCATTTCAACTATAGTTTCTAGATCTCTTTTCTCTTTCTTAAAGAAAGAAATTTTGGTGAACCACTCTAGTTGTTGTTTCAGCCTCATGTTAGTCCTCACAAACTGAAGTGGTTCTGAAATTTCCAAACATCTAAAATTAACCATCTTGAATCATCATTTCACGTGTTCTACTAAACTTGGTTAAGCGTGTTTATCTGTTGAACTGATTTGTGTCTACCTTTTGATAATGCTTCTTGATCAATTGGAGATTTAGTGCTTTTGCATGTAATTGTATCGGTCTTGTCTGTTATATGCTGTATTTCCTATGAACTTTTTTTTTGAAAAACTATTCCCTATGAACTTTTGCACTCATAACTTCTTCAATTTATTCAGGTGCCCCTATACGTGGCGACAAAGATGGCATCCATCAGGAAGTCTTCCTTCATGGTCCCATCTGCTGACACATATGCTCGTGCTGCTGTTCGTCACATTGGATACGAGCCTAGGTGCACACCGTACTGGCCACACTCTGTCCTGTGGTTCTTGATCTCCATTCTTCCCGAGTCCCTTATCGACAGCGTACGCCTGGGCATGTGCATTAAGATCCGCAAGAAGGGGCTGGCCAGGGACGCCAAGAAGAAGGCACTGTGATTGATGTTTCAGAATGCATGTTCAGATTCGCACATTTCCTCATCACCTGTAGTAGACATGTGCCTTGCTGTAGTCACTTTATTAGCTACCATTGCCTCCTGAGTCTGTTAAGAATCAAGAATGCCATTGTTCCATCCAAGGTTATGATGTTAAAAACTATGATTCTTCAATTCAAAATGTAACACTAATACGAGTAATGATGAATGAAATTAACTTGAAGAAGTTGTGTAACTCAGTTGTTTTTCTGAACCAGTTCACATTTTTGTGAAGTTTCTTTGCCCGCACATGACTTCAAATGGAATTTTCTGTAAACAAAGTTTGCCACACTAAAACCTCATGGTAGTGCTGTTTATGGAGAATTCAATACTCTCGCTTCTGCATTTGTCTTGAACTATCGTTTTCAGCAGTGTTAGATCATTCATTCATTTGTAACTGGTTTTCAGTAGTGTTAGATCATTTGTAACTGTTTATGGAGTTTTCTGCAAATAGCTGAACGCAAGCACGCAAAGACAGTCTTGTGCGGGCAAAGAACTGTAAAAATGTTCATTGGGCATCCAATTCAGCAGGAACGAACGTGGACATGTAACTGGTGATACTAGTGCGAATCAAATCTTTTGCTTTTTGCGAATCAAATCTTTTGCTTTCTATTACAAAGTATTACTACAGTGTTGTCCAGATACAGTCCTCGAAACAAACAACTCACCCTCTTCACACACAAGTGTCAGTTCTTTGTATCCAGTTAGCAAAAATAACACAGAAAAGGTAGCACATCCTTTTCTTACAGTTGAACATCTCCAAAACATCAAAACTAAGGTTACAGTTGAACACCTCCAAAACATCATGAAGTTAAACCATCACTTGTCAGCTGGGCCTCATGATCATCTCCACGGATGCCTGTTGTTTTCCCTAGTGATCTCTGGCTAAGCATTCGGACGATGCCACTTTTCATCTTCCGGACTTGAGACCCATTGGCAGATTGATTACCACCCATTGTCCTCGCAAGCTCTTCTGAAAAAGCTTTCACAAGGGTGTCGAAACGGCGCTTGGCTGTAGGGTACCTTGATATTGACTTTGTGATCCCTTGCAACCTTGCAGTAGGATCAGCGGGGTCAGAAAGGACTATTTTTTCTTTAGTGATTGAAAAGGAGTGATGAAAGGAAGTACCTTCGAGCAAATGCTTCTATTTCTGCTTGTTTTCGCTCATTCAATGCTGGAAGCCGAATGAGATTCTCCTTGATGCGCTTTGGATCACTTATCAAGAGCACTTGCTTCTCAAGGTATGCTTCCTCTTCTTCTGTGAAGTTCTCAGCTTTGATTTGATCTTTGATGACCATCAGAGGGTCAAAAACCACTCAAAGATTTTACTCTTAGGCCTATTGTCAGATGTTATCTCAGATCCATCACCTGCATATTTCACCAGAAAGTCTCGCAGGTCAATAAAAGGTACCGTAAACCTCTTTTAGCGGTGAAGAAAGGTACTCTTACTCACTTAAAATCAGACCATCAGAATTGGCTTTAGCAGATCGGAGGAGTGCCTTAAGGATAACATATGCTGGTAACCCAACATTAAGTACTCCAGTGCTGGCTTTGCCTGCCTTTGTTCCTTCTATATCTTTTGGGGTTATCACTCCTTCAGCGACCAGATCCTTGCCACGGTGCTTACACTCTATGAAAAGGTGATCTAGCAACTAAACAACACATCTAAATCAGTTATACTGCACAAATTTCCAAACACCAAAAAATCATAGCATGCTTTTGAATTTTAAATGAAATTATAAAATCTCATAGTATAATAACTAAACTCTACAAAAAGTATAGCTCCGCCATAATACTCCCTCAGTTCAAAATTATAAGACATTTTGCCTTTTTCTAGATACTGTCATTTGGGGCAGCCGGGGGTTGCATGGTGACTAGAGGGGGCGCAATTACCGCAGCCAGATTTGGTCAGCAAAGGAGCAGCAAGGAGCAGCATGCGGATCAGCATGCAGGGAAGGCAAGATTTAGGGGATTTATGGGGAGTTATGGAGTTTATTTCCCTTTATTTAGCAGGCCAAGTGCCTATATAGTCCATGTACCAGTCCTCATTTGAATCAAGCAATGAAGAATAAACAATCCAATTCCCAATTCCCCCAAATGCTGTAGTCTCCCTCCACACCGACTTTGCACGGCCTTCCTCCTGGCACTGGTTATCTCTATCCCCCAACCCCCAATGATCGATCATAACAAATACATTGCTTTTGTTATGTATCTAGACATGGTGTATATCTAAGTACATCTAGAAAAGTCAAAACATATTATAATTTGGAATGGAGGGAGTAGAATACAATGAAAGTAATCTAAATGGAGCATGGGCCAGTGTCAGTATAGATAATTTTTATGTACTGGGAACACAGTGAAATTTCTTTTGCCAGTTTTCCAGAAAAAGATCACCTTGAATGGATTGAACTCATCAAAGCTACTTTTAAATGATGTTACACGCTGAGGAGCTTTCTTTCCATCATGCTTGTCCTTGGATGAAGCGGGCCTCGAGAGAGAACCACCATGTGAGGAAGCTTCATCTTTCCTATATTTAAACCTAGTCATGGAAAGTGAAATTTTGAGTAACTTGTATTATTCGGTGTACAATTCAAGGACAACCTTTTGGTATAGAATAAACCATTTGTACCTAGGAAAGCAAGATCCTGGTGCCATGTCAAGTACGCCATTTGTATATTCATCAAAGATGGATACTGATGATATTACATAAGACAGTCCCAAGAAAAGTGAGGATTCCTGCCACATAAACAAGATTGCAATTGTAAGCTTCACGCCTCCACATCTATCATGCTAAATCAGGTAATATTTCATCATAATACTAGCTTTATGCTATAAATGATATTTTTCTGTTGCCAGTCCAAAAAGATTTGTCAATACCTGATAAACCACCACGGCAGCATATGCACCAAAAGGAACACTGCAGATAACAGAGGCTAGAAAAGCTCCTATAACTGAAAATGGCCAGAGAAGAATTGCAAGACCAGCAAACGGCACGGAAGCTGTCTCAAGAAAAGGTCCTCTGCCAACAAGATCTTCAATCAACCGCTTCCATCCTTTGAATAGCATAACAGGGAACTTGTACAAGGCAATTAGTGTGAACATTATTGCATCCACTACAAGCCCACAAGCAGCAGCAAATATTGCACTGGGAATTTGTAGCAATCTGGGGATGCAAAGTTAATTATTTTGTGACATGCAGAATTCCTCAATTAAAACAAAATCACTACAAGGGTATTTAAATATTGCAATCAGATCAAGATTTAAAAGGATACTGAACTTCAATGTACATGGGACACTCCCTCATATCATTTCTTTTTAAAGCGAGTTCTCAAGTAAGAATTAATTGTGTATTTCTTGTCTTTCTTGTGACCACATTATAGTGTATCTTGTTGTTAACCTGAACTGTTTATGATGTGCAAGAAAAGCTAACCAAGATAACAAACAGACAGAATATTCTAATTAGAGTACCAGATGAAGGTAATGACTCATTTAGTACAATTGCAACTCACTTGTTAACACATATAGTTATAATGAAGAATGAAAAAGGCTGAAAACAATAACAGAAAGAAAGTAGACCTAAGACCTTATCTCATATGGCTTGCCATCGGGAGGTGCATGAAGACGAACTTCATCCATGATTGAAAAATATGAGTGTACCAACATGTCTTTCACGTCCCTGACTACTGTACAGCTTCCTGTGATAGTGCTCCATGTTCCATCCTGCATTTCCAGTTAGCTAACCATGTGAAACAGATATTGTACACACAAAACAGATATCAGAATGAAACCATTACAAGTAAATTGTACCAAAAAACAGTGAACAAGTGTCTTTTCTTTTCCTTCCCCAACTGCATCAAATGTAGCCATTACTGGTGCCAGAAAGCCATAAGCCAAACCAGCAAGGATGCTTGCCGAGACGCCAATTATTAGCCATAGAACCAAAACCGCAGTTGCAGCAATAAGAAGCAGCAACTTTACGACCGGTCCTACCATCTTGGTTCTGCTTTCATAAAAAGGTGATAAGCTCCAAATACACCACATTGCATGACTTTCCTTTCAAGACTGCAAACGCTACCTGATGATGCAGTAATATGTCCAAATCACATGCATAGGCCACAAGCCTAGAATAAGTGCGGAAATTCCAATTGTCATGACGAGCCATGCCCATGGGCCAAACAAAGCACCTGGATTGGCAAGATTAGCATGAATCGATAGACCAATAGGAACTGAGATCAACAATAATTACCAAGTACTCAAACAGTCCATGAAATGTAGGCTAGCCAAGGTATTAACATTTACAATCAGAACACTATTTTTTCTAGAATTAATCCAAAATCTCATGTGCACAGTTCAATTCATATCCCTAGATATTCTCATTGCAAAACACTGCAGAAATAAGTCTATTGCCCCTATCAAGCAGAATTGCACAAATAACAAGTAAAAGCTACGGCATGAATAAATCTGCAGATGCAAAAAAATGAACCAGGCAGATCGAGCAATATTCATAAAGTCAACACTCTCTGCCAATGAAAGTTTAGGATCATCTAGGTGCAGATTAGAGGGTGAATCCGGTACTTGTTTAGTTCAATTCAACCTATAACTTGATACAGAGAGGGAGACAATGAGAGAGGGAGATGTAGGAGTGGCTGACCGTCGGCTTTGGGGAAGGATGAGCCGTCCATGTCGAGGTCCAGTCGGTGGCGTCGTCCGGTGGCGGTGTAGAGGCGGTGGTGGCACTTCCCGTCGCCGGCAGCACCCCTCTCGATCGGTCTAGGTTTAGGAAGTAGGTGGGGGCGTCTAGTGGCTCAGGTGAACCTTATCTCTGCGCCCTGGCCCCCACCTCCCTCTATATGGTGTTGCGCGACGGGGGCCCACCAACCTTAGTTTGGTTGGATGCCCCCGATCAGGACACTGGATCAAGGCCCGACTCGACCGTTGGGCCGAGTCGGATAAGATCAACACTAACAATCTCCCCCTTGATCTCACCTTATAAATTAAACTTAACTTACTTACTTTATCTTGTTCTCATTCCATTACAGATCAGTGCATAGAGCGTGCCTCATCGTCATGGTCAGTTGCCATTAGATTTAACAGCTACAATGCACCTCTCTGTTTTGAAACAGATACTCAACTAGGCCCTTAGTATCCAGAAATTATAGGCTTTCCCATAAACCCATGTCGACTGTGTGTTCTCTGAACGTACTGGGTGGTTAGCTTTTGGTAAGCGGATCAACAAGTACTTACTCGGTACTTAGGTGCTCAATGCTTTCAAAATGATTCTTGATTTTCTCCTTTACAACATATACTTTAGTGTCAATGTGTTTGGCAGCACACTTGACTTGTTGTCTTAGAAGTTAACTTGCTTTAAATGGTTATTGCTGTTGTCTACCATTATTAAATCCGGGTATGAATTCCCATAACCTCCTTTTGCTTGTTCCTTAAGCCTCATGTCAAGCTATACTATGGTATGCATCACTGATGACACCATAACTATTTCTTTGGAGTTTTTTTCCACAATAATACTCCAACTGCGAGTGTTAGCAACTACTGTGGATTTCACTACACATCTCGCCATGACTTAACATTTGTACCATCAACTATTTGAGAGTACTTATTCTTTCTTACTCAGCATGAGGCCAATGATACTTTACAAAATTGCAAAACATTCTCAACTCCATTCCAGTGATCTATATCTGGACTGGACTTCTGCCAAAATATCCCGGATACGTAAACTACGTCAGGGTAAGTTCTTACTTATACTTGTACACTCATCAAGCTTCCAACAGCTGAAGCATATGGAACCATGTTCATTTGATCGATCTCATATCGGTTCCTGGAACACTTAGAGTTTCCAAATCTATTACCCTTGACTATAGGAGCAGGCATAGGTTTACTCGTATGCATACTTTATTTCTTTAGAATCTTTTCTAAGTATGCCTTTGCGATAGTCCTAATACCCTATTTTCTTCTATCTCGGTGAATTTCGATTCCTCGAGCCAATGACGCTTTACCAAGATCATTCACATTGAAACTTGAGGACAAAACTTCTTCTCCAATAACTGATTAACATCACTACTAATAAATAGAATGTCATCTATTCATAGGATGTGGAAAATGATTTTTTCATTCTTGATCCTCGCATAACGCTATTGTCATTCTCATTTTCTTTAAAACCCGAACTTTCTTATCGTTTCATCAACTTCAAACATTACTGTCTAGAAACTTACTTTTAATCCATAAATGGATTTTTTTCAGGCAGCATCCCATATGTTCTTTTCTTCCATGACAAAACCTTTTGGGTTGTGCCATGTAAACGTTTTTCATACAAATCCCTGTTGAGGAATGTCGTCCTTACATCCATCTGATGTAACTCTAAATCTTAATGTGCCAATAACACAATTTCGATTCTAAAGAATCCTTGCATAAGACTGGAGAAAAAACTCTCATCGTAATCTATTCATCCTCTTTGCGTAAAGCCTTTTGCTACAAGTCGTGCTTTATATCTCTCTATATTCTCTTTGAAGTCACATTTTGTCTTGTAGACCCATTAACAGTCTACTGCTTTGGCTCCATTAGGAATTACTTATAAGTCCCAAACATCGTTGGTATTCATCGAATTTATTTCAACTTTATATCTTTCTATATTCCCTTTGGAGTCACATTTTGTCTTGTAGAACCATTAACAGTCCACTGTTTTGGCTTCATTAGGAATTTACTTCTAAGTCCCAAACATCGTTGGTATTCATCGAATTTATTTTAACTTTATATCTTTTTATTATTTAAACGAGTAGACGCTTCTCATGGCTTCTTCAAATGATGTGGGATCACCCTTCATTTTAATTTCTTTACTAATATAGACTTCATAGTCATCAGAACTGGTTTACTAATTCTTTAAGACCTTCTAGGGCCTCAACTACTGGCATTTTCATATGGGGCTGTTGTTGCTCTTCATTGCCAAGAGGCAATTGATTCTACAGGCTCATGTATCACAAGATCCTTGTTTACATTATTCATATTCTTCAAAAAGTCAACAACAGGTGTTGTATAAGTCATATAACATCAACATGTATTGAGTCTTCAAGTCTTAGGTCTCTACATACCTCTACATACCATGCTCCCCCAGATCTTCCTATCTTTTCCAAAGATAGTGTATCTTCAAATATCTTATTTTGGGTTTAATTTGTTAAAAACTTCATATGACGCTTTAAGCACCGCCTTTATACCTTTGAGGCTGACTACGCTATCTTCCTGTCAGAACTTTAAAAGGTTCAGGAATTTAGCTATTTCTCTGCTTAGGGGTATCATTGTCGTGACCGTTGTACTCCTCCAACGGTTTCATCTTAATTAACATTTATCTCACTCTTAATGAAGAGTATCTTTCTTAATTGATCTTTATCTCACTCTTAATGAAGAGTATTTTTCTTAATTGATCTTAACATTCTCCCCCTCGAAATATGGCATGGACTTTATTGCCATAATTTCGATAACTATTCAGAAAGCCTGTAAACGAGGAGAACCATATAACTTACTTCATTCATA